TGGGATTGTATGCAGCATCTTTGAGGGCAGGTGAAAGTTTCATGGGATTGTATGTAGCATCTTTGAGGGCAGGTGAAAGCTTCATGGCACTGTATGCAGTGTCAAGGACTGACTTTGATGAAGGACCATGCTGCTGCCCCTTTAACTTTACACTCTTTAGCGGTTGCATCTCATCAGCAACTGAATTTGGATTTACAGTTAAAGCTAGAAATTTAGAATTCTCAAGAATGGTATTTTGTTCCTTGATTAAATATAAATTCTTGTTTGAATCTTCAAACCGTGCTGGATATTGAGCCTCCTCTAAGGATTTTTCATCAGATTCTGGGCTCTTGATTGAATCTTGAATTTCACGATTTGGGACTTTGACCAAATGTTGACTCCTCCTATCCATAGTCTGGATCTGGAAGGAGTCTTGTCTGCTGCTGAAAAATGGTTTCCCCATGAAATCTTGAGACTCAGCCAAGTATCTGACCTTGATAGCAGGCTGGCTGTTGATTGATTCTTGGCTTTGAGTGAAATGTTGGGCTTGATTCTGAACAGCATTTTGTCCTGAAAAAGAATCATATTCCTGGGCAGAATATTCACTCTGAACCAAAGACTCTTGAGATCTTGAATAAAGATAAGTTGATTCACTCTCAAGTGTACGCTTGGATTTTAAAAGAATTTGATTTCTCACGTTTTCTTCCAGAAGTCTAACTTGGTCTCTGGAAAGATATAAGTGGGCAGAAGGGCATGGTGCCACATCTAGAGCCTCATTGTCTACAGTTAATCTTGAAGTTCTTGAGAAGTTAAAATCAGAAGAAACCCTTACGTTTTTATGTTTGTTGGTTTTCATTATAGAATATAATTTCTTTGATGAAAATTTTAAGGTGTCACGTTCACTTTCTAGACTTTCACTATGACTTTGAAAATATTCCTTAACTTCACATTGAAATGTTGACAAAGATAAGCTCGTCCCACGTGATGATGGCATATGACTGTCATTAAAGTCATTCACTTGGTATTCACTTTCACTGTTACGTACCCAGATGAGTCTGTCTAATGAAGAAACTCTATCTTCAAAGTTACCTTCATTTTCTTCAGCTGTAAGTGATGAAGTAATTGTACTTTGTGTAAAAATATCCACTCTGAAATAGAAAATAAGCAGTGTACAAATGCATTATTGCTTCAGACATATTTGTTACAAGAACTCTCTTCTAGATTTAAAGAGACCTGTGTAATCAGCAAATCTTACTTAGCTCCTTTTAATTAATAAGTCAATCAACTGTGAAGTGAACTCCAAGAATAAGGTGCTTCCTACCTTACAAACCTTTTTAGAAGTTTATTTTTGACAGCAATGAATCAAAGTTACAGGTTAAAGTTTCATTCTTAATAAGAAATATTAGATTGTTTCTGTTCTGTATGGTAGTGGTTGCATGCTGAATTGGTTTCAACTCAGAGAGGCCCTGTAAAGGGTTTCTGCGCCTGTAAGTCTTTACAGGAGCAGAAAGCCTCATCTTTCTCCTGTAGAATCACTGGTAGACTGAACTGCTGACCTTGCAGTTAGCAGCCTAACTTCTAACCACTGTGCTACCAGGGAGAGTATTGGAAATAATGAATATAGTCTTATATAATACATTTTAAGAACAATGCCCAGTTCTATAAACTGCAACTTTCTAGTACATTATAGAGTATTTTAACAAGCAGTTTTCTGTGTTTTTGTTTTTGATGGCTAAAGGTCAGAGCAATGTTTCTCAAAGAGTGGAACGCAGACCAACAATATCAGCATCTCCTGGGAACTTTTTAGAAATGCTGATTTTTCAGAAAATGCTGTTGTTAGCTGCTGCTGAGTCAGTTCTGACTCATAGCAACCCCGTGCAGCAGAATAAAACACTGCCCTGTTTTGCATCCTCTGCACAATCATGGCTGTGTTTGGGCCCACTGTTGTAGCTACTGTGTTCACCTTTCTCATGGTGTTGTTCAGTGCCATCCATTCAGTGGTTCTGACTCATAGAAACCCTGTATAGGGTTTCTGAGGAACAGTTGGTAGATTTGATCTTGCAGTTCCAAATGCCCTTGTGGTCCAGTGCTTATCCTACAGTGCCACACCAGGACTCCTCATGCATATGAGGCCATTGAAGATTCCAGGGCTTTGGTCAGGTACACCTTAGCTTCAGAGTGACATCTTTGTTCTTTGACAATTGAAAAAGGGTTTTGCAAGCAGATTTGCCCAATGCAGTATGTTGTTTGATTTCTTGACTACTGCTTCTGTGGGAACTGATTGTGGAGCCAAGTAAAATGAAATCCTTCACATCTTCAGTCTTTCCTGTTGTGAATTTTAAAATTAGTATTGAGGTGTTACTATGAAGTGCCATCAAGTCAGTTCTGACTCATAGCGACCTTGTATAGGGTTTCCAAGGAGCTGGTGGTGGGTGTGAATCCTGACTTTTTGGTTAGCAGTCCAGTATATATCCTACAGTGTCATAGTAGGACACCTATAGAGGTGTAAGTCGTACTAAAGCTTGTATGTATGTGCTGTAATAAGTACATACATACAGGCTTTAGAATGTGCTTCATGTATATTAGTAAGTACTTCAAGTTCACTTTACTTTCAGTAAGCAAGGTTGTGTGATCTGCATAATGCAGGTTGTTAATGAGTCTTCCATTAATCATAATCCATCCTGGCCTCGAAGGAGCACTCTGGCCGCACTTCTTCCAACACAGATCTGTTGGTTCTTTTGGCAGCCCATGGCACTTTCAATATACTCCTCTAACACCGTAACTCAAAAGCATCAATTCTTCTACGGTCTTCCTTATTCACTGTCCAGCTTTGGCATGCATTTGAAGTTATTGAAAATACTATGGCTTGGGTCAGGGGCACCTTAGTCCTCAAGCTGATATCTTTGCTCCTTCAACACTTTAAAAAGGTCTTGTGCAGCAGATTTGCCTAATGCAATATGTCCTCTGATTTCTTGACTGCTGCTTCCATGAGTGTTGATGGTTGATCCAAGAAGAATGAAGTCCTCAACAACTTCAATCTTTTCTCCATTGATAAGAATGTTTTTTTATTGGTCCAGTGGTATTTTTGTTTTCTTTCCATTGAGATGCAATCCATACTGAAGGCTGTGCTCTTTGATCTTCCATCAGTAAATATTCCAATTCCTCTTCAGTAAATATTCCAAGTCCTGTTCACTTTCAGCAAGCAAGGTTGTATCATCTGCATATCGCAGGTTGTTAATGAGTCTCCCTCCAATCCTGATGCCACGTTTATCTTCATAGAACCCAGTTTCTCGGATTATTGGCTCAGCATACAGGTTGAATAAGTATGGTGAAAGAATACAGCCCTGTCACACAGCTTTGAGATCCATGTGCCTGTGCAAGAAGAGGAGTTTGTGCAAGATGTCTCTCAGACCTCTAAGGCCTGCCTGCTTTCCTTCTCTTGCTGCACAATGTTTTAAAATAAGAAAGCGTCTTATAGGAGTATATTCTGTGGGGTTTGACTGTTGTGGTTAAGTGCCATCAAGTCGGTTTTGATTCATAGTGACCTTGTGTGGGGTGTCCGAGAATTGGCTGGTGAGTTTGAACCACTAACCCTTACAGTTCAAACTGATCTTGGGGTCAAGTGCTTATCCTCTGGCACCACACCAGGGCTCTGTGGGGTTTCATTAGCTCTTTCAAATATTGAACTTGTTAAATATTTGCAGTTAAGAGGAGAATGGGATATTTGAAACAACCTAAGACTGTAATTTAGATAAGGACAAAGGGACTATATATGAGGATGGAAGATGAAGAATTGGATGTGGGAGGATCACTGTTGTGACCAGATTGGTTGCCTGGCCATCGTGGAGTGAGAAATAAGAACTGTGCCCTAGGATGGACAGGTCAACATGCTAGTCAGACCTGGAGTACTTGGATTCAGGGCCCGGGAAGATAGCCAGATGCTTACCAAAATAGATATGAGCTGAGGGAAAGTCAGTCTGAATATGATGCATTAGCTGCTTTTATCTGTAAAATGAAGATCACATATACACTACCTGAGGCTGCCAGAATCACAGAGTTATAGCTGTGAGTCAGTCTGTCAAGGGCAGGGCGGCAGCATCCACAGAAAGTCGGACAGATATTTGCTTTGATTAGAATTTGGTCCCCATATGGCCAATCCTCACTAAGAGAATGAAGAGACTATTCCGTTAAACACGACTAGTGAGGCTGCCCTATGGATCCTCCTTAACTGTTCTCTCCAGAACTGGTATGTAAATGGATACTGTGTTTGAGAATCTGTGTATTTTTTCCTGAACACTGGCCACTGACATCCAGTTAACCCAGACTCATGGTCACACAATAGGACAGAGGATAACTACTCCGTAAGATTTCCAAGGCTGTGTGGCACCATAGGATAAGCACTCGACCTTAAGGTCAGGTTGAACTGCAAGGCAGTGGTTCAAACTCACCAGCCATTCCTTGGAAACCCTATAATGAATCTCTATGAGTCAGAACTGACTCAACAACACTTAACAACAACAACAATCTTTTCATAAACAGATTGCCACATCTTTCTCCCATGGAACAGCTGGTGGGTTTGAATCATACGTCATTTGGTTAGTCCTTAATTCTGCTAGAATATCATGGTATCTGTTTCTAGTGTGAAAGGAGGCTGGATGCCACATTAAATTCAGCGCTGGGCTGCTAACCTCAAGGTCAGCAGTTCAAACACCATTGTGCTGGAAAAAGATGAAGCAGTCGTCTTCCATACAGGTGCTTCTGAAACCCATCAGTGAGAGCTTCAGATTTTGGAAGTCAAGTAATTGGTGGAGGACTCACTTCTGTGAATATACTTCTAAGGTCAATGCTGGCTTCTGTGACTCATGCAAATCTGAAACAAACATTCCCCCAACCCTACAGAGGACCAGCCACTTGCTATGCTGAGACTTGGATCAATAGGCATGGTCTCCTGATTTCTAAAATCGAGTGCTAATCTCATCCTATGACACCACTTATGTCAATGAGCACTGAACCTCACACGATTTCAACTGATCCTTCCTTCTTTTTGCCCCACACCCCTCACTCCATTTCATGTTGTTAGGTGCTGTCCAGTAGGTTCCAACTCTTAGCAACGTTCAGCACAACAGAATGAGATTCTGCTGGGTTCTGAGGCACCCTCACAATCGTTACGCATGAGCCCACTGTTCTTGTCACTCTGCTAGTCCATTTCATTGGGAATCTTGTCTTTTTCACAGACCCTCCACTTTACCAAGCATGCTATCTTTCTCCAGGGACTGGTCCCTCCTAGTAATATATCTTTCACATGCCTATGAAGCTATTGAAAATACCATGGCTTGCATCAAGCACACCTCAGTCCTCAACCTGACATCTTTGCTCTTGAACACTTGAAGAGGTGTTGTGCAATAGATTTGCCTAATGCAATACGTCAATTGATATCTTGACTGCTCCTTTCATGTGCTGACAGTGCATGCAAGTAGAGTCTAGTCTTTGACAACTTCATTCTTTCCTCTATATTTATCATGATGTTATTTATTGGTTCAGTAATGAGAATTTTTGTTTTCTTTACATTGAGCTGCAACTCATACTGAAGACTGTGATCTTTGATCTTCATCAGTAAGTCTTTTAAGTCCTCTTTGCTTTCAGCAAGGTGTGTCATCTGCATATCGCAGGTTATTAATGAATCTTCCTCCAATCCTGATGTCATATTCCTCTTCATATAATCCAACTTCTTCTTGGATTATTTGGTCAACATAATACAGAGTCCTGTACCAAAAAGAAATGGTTGATGTTCAACCATTACAAGAGGTAGCATATGATTAAGAGCCAATGTTACTGAAGGAAAAAGTCCAAGGTGCACTGAAGGTACTGGCAGTTTTGACTCATTGCAACCCTATTTAGGGTTTCCAAGGAGCAGCTGGTGGATCTGAACTGCCAGCCTTGCAGTTGGTGGTCCAGTGCTTATCCTAAGTGTCAGGCTTCTTAAAAACAGAAACTCTGTTAACCTGGCTCCCGTCATCAAACATAGTGTTCTCTACAGAGAAGATACCCAAGGATTACTGCATGGGTTTGATTAAAGCAAGTAAAATATTGATGAAAGAGTAATGATGATGTCAGTACTAATCTCTAGCACAGATATATCTTTAAGATACTGGTTAATTCTGTTTCTAGAAATCCTTCTATGCCACTCTTATAGCACCTGGTTTCTTGACTATCAGCTTTATGAAATTAGATTGCTAGAACTTTCTTCTGCTGTGCTTCTTCATACACTCAAACCAAGCTCTGCCATGAAGTCAATTCCTATGTAAGGTTTCTGAGACTGGAAATCTTTATGGGAGCAGTAAATTTCATCATTTTCCCACTGAGCCGCTGGTGGGTTTGAACCACTGATCCTGTGGTTTACAGTCCAGTGTTTATTTTACAATGCGACCAGGGCTACTCAGTGAATGCTAAATAATTTTTTTTTTTCAGTTTAGTTCCAAGAATTGGCCATTACTCCTTCTTTGTGGATACTGGGAAAGGAGCCGTGTGATAGAGAAGTGACTTCACCTCTCTAACTGTACTTCTGACACTACCTATCTTTTGGAATAATTTTTAGTTTATGAAAAAGCTTTTAACATGGTGCTTGGTATATATTATCCATTCTTTTGAAAAAATGTTAGATTAAATTACAGTATTGAAAACTGTGATCCTCTGTACTTATTGGAAAACCTTTTCAGAAATTCAGATGTAAAAGTTAATTTTGAACATGTCAACCTATTTGATTTCATTAAAACATGTATCACTTACCTTTCTTCTGAAGATGAAGTCACACTTGACCAATTATCTAGAGCTAAATGAGAGTAAATAAAACAGATTATCAATAGGAGAAGCTCAGGCTAAGTATGTTCTATGTGAAAATATAAATTACATGATATTTACCAAATTGCAAACTTTGGAAGACCCTGTCTTCATTCTGTTTCAAGGGAGACAAAATGTTAGAAGAGTAATCCAAATATCAAAGTTCTCCAATATTATACGTAACATTGAAATTGTGGTAAGGAGGGTATCAAGCATTTGTTCTTACCTCCTGGGTACCTGAACTATCTTCTTCTGGAAATGTAGGTTTCTTCTGGAGGGATGTACAAAATTTTATGAATACTACTTCAAAAATAATCCCTAAGAAAATTATAAAGAAGATTACCATCCAATAATTTTGAAAAATCCAGGAATCTAGAAGATCCCATAACATGAAAAATGTATTATCTCCCAATTCATCCCTCATGCCTTTATCAAATAAATTATATTGCTTCGTCATTTTAATCTGTGAAAGAGACTTGCGTCTCATTAAGTCGTCGATTTTGAATGGCCCAAACCACAAAAAGTTGGCATGTCCATCTTAAACCACATGTAATGCTCTGCCTCAAAGAGTCCAGTGCCTACAAGTGTCTTAGCAAGAGCACCAGTGATTGCTCTGGGGGAGGTAAGGAACGTGTCATAGTGGGCATTGTACTGAGCTCACCTCAACTTAATAAGCATATTTCAACTGGTCAGAAAAGTATAGTGCTATAGTTTATAGAATTAATTTTGTTGTATGAAATTAATTAATGATTATTTCTAAATTTTATTTAAACAAACAACCCTTGTAGTATAGAGAGACTCCTTGTGTGACACTGTAGGATAAGCACTGGGCTGCAAACTGCAAAATATATATATATATATTGTTAAGTGCTGTTGAATTGGTTCCTACTTATAGCGGCCCTATATAGGGTTTCCGAGGAGCGTTTGAACCACCGACCTTGTGGTTAGCAGTCCAGTAGTTGCCCTACAGCACATACACACATACGTATATACAAGAATACACAATGTTTATATAAATGAGGTAGCTTTACAAATTAGTAGTAAAATGGAATGAAAAGATAATGGATTTTTAGCCCACAAAGACAATCTCCTACATCCTACTTTGGTGAGTGGCTTATGGGATTTTAAAAGCCCATGAGTGGCTGTCTGAGATGCAGCTATTGGTATCTCCATGTGCAGAAGAAAAGTGAAAATTAAAAATGCTTGGATTCAATTAGTTGAATGGGCTAATGGTACATGTGAACATCAGTCTTCCTGACTCTGAGACCTGAAGAAGTAGATGGTGCCCAGCTACCACTACCAGCTGCTCTGAAAGGGATCACATTAGAAGGTCCTGCATAGAGCAGCAGAATATGTGCAACAAAACTTAAAATTATTTAAAATATATATATATATATATATATATATATATATGGTTACTGGTCAGAAAGAGACTGGAAGAATCTGAAACTATGACTGTGACCCTCAACCACCCTTCAGGTATGGAAAGGAACTCACCCATGTGGTCCAACACTAGTAAGATATGTTCAGTATGAATGTTCAAAATTGAAAGGACAACATTTACCTAAAGACAGGGCCTAAGCAGAATGTTGTTGCATGGAAGGGAATGCAATCATCGAGATGAAACAAAGTGTATGATTTGTTAACTATAAAACCTGGTCATCTTATCTGTAATCCTTCACTCAATTCACACAATAAAAGGTTGAAGAAAAAAAAAAGACAATTGGTTCTTCCCACGGATTTTTGAAGCCCCCTTGTCACAAATAAATTTAAATTGGTAGAAAGCATTTGACATAGTCAAATTTTATTTTACCACCATCTGGAAAAGTGTATTTTGTGGTCAAGAAAATATGATCCTTTCTTGTCTGATTTAGCAAATAAAAATGCAACATCTAGTTAAATTTGAATTTCAGATAAGTATAGCATAATTTTTTAGTACATTATGATTGTCTGGACTTCTGGCGTGGTGCTATAGGATAAGCACTGGACTGTGAACCACAAGGTCAGCAGTTCAAACCCAGCAGGTCTACTCAGAAACCCTGTACAGGGTTGCTACAAGTTGGAATCCACTCTATAGGACTTGACAATAGCCTCCCTGTTATGGGCTTGCTTGATTTTTCTTTTCTCCCTTAAAAATTATTTTGTATTTTCTTTTGCTGGAGAGTGTGTTAGTAGGATTCCTCTTCAACAATCTACTGATAACCTGAAAGTTGAAGTTAGACTTTGGAATGGGCTCTACGTGGCTACTCTTTTCTCGGGGTCTATAGTGATGTGCCTTCTGATGTCAGAATCATGGGTGGGGCAGAGGGAGACTGCAGCACTATTCTCTGCCAAGTCTAGAAAGTAAGTCTGTAAGCTCATTTTAACACCATTTTTCTCACAAGTAGCCAAGATAGACTGAATTATTAGTGAAAAACGTTAACATTAATTTGGTTTTGAGTGCTTTTCCTTTAAGATATAATTAATACTTCGTCTTATTCAAGGTGTGTTGTTGTTGTTAAGTGCTTCAGAGTTAGGTCTGACTCATAGCAACCCTGTTTTCAAGGATTTCCAAAGAGTAGCTGGTGAGTTTGAACCGCTGACCTTGCAGTAAGCAGTACAGCCCTTATCCTACAATGCCACAGCAGGACTCCAAGGTAGGTTGAGGAATGGAGTATTATTCTTTACATCAGTTTGAGCTCTTACTCTCCCCAGGTACCGGAAATGAGTCAATGACATCCCAACATCAGCGTGTACTGTTACCCAGTCCACGGATATTTGTAATCTTTATTTGGGTTTCACTCTGATCTTGGGGTTTGTATTTGCAAACGACAGCCTTCCAGATGTGTGACAGGCACTCATTAGCTCTGGAAGAAACTTCAATTCTATCTGGATATATGTAACACTGGGTAAGCACTGGACTGCAAGGGTGTTTGAACTGCAAAGTCAGTGGTTCAAACTCACCAGCCACTCCTTGGAAACCCTAGACAGGGTTGGTATGAGTCAGAACCGACTCGACGGCACTTACAACATTCTGTGTCAGGGAAGGACAAATGGAAAGGGGTGTATTCTACCATTGTTGCTATTATGGGCCATTAAGTCAGTTCCAACTCATAGTGACTATGTTTCCAAGGATATCTAAGTCATGGCTGGAGAGCTTGAACCACCAACTTTACTGCTCAAACCGACCTTGCAGACCAGTACATTATCCTGCAGGACTCCATACTCTGCCATAGTGTTAAATATTTTTTGTTGTTGTTAAGTGCCGTCAAGTAGGTTCTGACTCACAGCGACCCTGTATAGGGTTTCCCATGAGCAGCTGGTGAGCTTGAACCCCAATCCAAACTGACTTTGCAGTCCAGTGCATTAACCCACAGCACCACACCAGGACTCCTGAATGATAATGGTGGTGTGCTGTGAGTCCATTCCAATTCATAGCCACCGTGCATATGGTTTCTGAAGCTGTAAATCTTTACAGGAGTAGGAAGCCTCATCTTTCTCTCGGGAAACCACTGGTAGTTTCGAACTGCTGACCATAAGTTTAGGAGCCCTACTCAGAACTGCTGCATTTCCAGACTTTCTCTAATTCATTTATTACCTCAAAAGGGACCCAGTGTTTAAACACTTTACTCTCTAGTTTCTTAGATCCCTAACAATCTTTATGGCACTGAATCCCTAAGTATTATACCACTGAAAGCTAAATAGCTTTTAAAAGCTGAAAAGGAACGTGTGTCATCACTCCCCGCCCTACACTTATGTTTACACAGAGGTAAATATTCCCCCAAGGGCTTTGGTGTGTTTATTACTTAACAGTTGCCTTCAATTAAAAGAATAAAGACCTATTTTTGAGCATAGACGTTTCTGTTTGTTGTACTAAAAAAAAACCTCTTAGGTCAATCTCTAGTGAGCCAATAAAAAGTGAATAAACTAGATTAATTTTTTTAAATTATATAATAAACATGAGAGAATGTCCATTCTTTAAATCTTCTATTTCACAATGTCACGTTCTTTGGCTGTTTGGATTTGTAAGCTAGCTTTAAGGAATTCTGGTGGCACAACAGTTAAGCAGTTGGCTGCTAATGCAAGGCTGGCAGTTGGAACCTATACAATGGCTTTGCAGGAGGAAAACCTGCTGGCCGTCAAGATTTCAGCCAAGAAATTGCTCTTGGGCAGTTTGACTCTGTCACACGGGACAACTATGAGTTGGAATCAACTCAATGGCATCCCCAAACAACAAACTAGAGGTTTGTTCTTTATGTAACAAGAAAATCCCAATGGTAGGGAATGTTGTTGTTACATGCCTTTGAGTCAGTTTCAACTCATAGTGACACTGTACAGGGTTTCTGAAGCTTTTAAAATCTTGGTGGGAAAAGAAAGCCTGTTATCTTTCTGCCTCAGAGTGGCTGGTGTGCCCAAACAGCTGACCTTGTGGTTCACAGTCCACTGCTTATGCTATGGACCCGCCGTGCTCTCTAAATATATAAAATATCCAAACAAACCCAGGGATTGCTCATAATGGTTAGAAATTCTCCTATAAATATTAAGTAAAAAATACATAAGACAGTGAATTGCTCCGCAGGAGAAAGATGAAGCTGTCTGCTTTGGTAAAGATTCAATCTCCTAAACCCTCAGGAATAGTTCTACTCTTCCTGTGAGCTGAGTCAGAATTGACTCCATGACAGTTGCATGGGTGGGTGCTATGGCATTGAAAAAGGAACCAAAAAAAGTTAAGAGTAGAATCTGTTCTTTGATTTGAAACAGTTTGTAATGTCAGCAGGGTGGTGATGGTTGTTGCGAAATGCTGTCAAGTTAGTTCCAACTCATAGTGACAATGTATAGGGTCTTTGAGGGGCAGCTGGCGGGTTTGAAATCTGACCATGAAGTTTACAGTCCATTGCTTCATCCTACAGCACCCCACCAAGGTTCCAAGTGGGTGGAGAAAATATATATTCAAGCTCACCAGCCATTCCTCGGAAACCCTACAGTATTGCAGAGTCGGAACCGACTTGAAGCACTTGATAAAAGACAAGCGGTACTTGGTAACAACCAAATATACCCTACTCCTCCTTATATCTCCTTTACCAGCGATTTTACGTTTACTACAATAGTAAAATTAAAAGAAATCATTATAGTTCGTATTCTTAATACTCATAATTCTTATTTTGATTTTCTTATCTTATTGTACTAAGGAGCTTTGGTAGCATAGTGGTTATGAATCAGGCTGCGAACCGCAAGGTCAGCAGTTCAAAACTACCAGCTGTTCCGTGGGAGAAAGATGAGGCTTTCTGCTCCCGTAAAGATTTACAGCCTCGGAAATCCTATACAGGGTCACTGTGAGTTGCAACTGACTCCATGGCACATAACAACAATAGTAAAAAAACTACTGTTTTTCACACTAATGCTGCACACCTGGTAATAATGAACATGAGGTACAAGTAGAGTGTAACACCGGCTGTGACGGCGGTTGTGTCATGATTCTGTTGTTTGGCAGTCATATAGGATGCAATTTGGCAGTTAGGTAATGATGAAAACCAAACCCCGCTGCTATCAAGTTGATTGCAACTCATCTGACACTACAGGATAGAGTGGAACTGCTCAGTTCCCAAGGCTGTGAATCATTATGGAAACAGACTGTCAAATCTTCCTATGGCAGAGCAGTTGGTGAGTTCAAACTGCCAATGTTTTGATCAGCAGTCAAACACTGTAACCACCAGTAATGTAATGATGTAATCACTACGCTTTGTGATTAATGTGGTCATCCTCTTTGCTTGCATAATGACCTAGTCTATGGAACCTCTGTGGACAA